TGCCATGAGATGATCTGTCTGTCCATCTGATCTCACTTGTCCTGAGTATATTTTTTCTCCTCTTAGCCCAATCTCACTCAAAATTAACTCATAGAGTGCCTGTGGATGGAGGGTAAAAAGTGACCTTGGACCAATTATCAAGGTCAAAGGTCAGTATCAAAACACACTATATATCTTTATTTAAAGTCCTTGTCCAGAGCATAATTTTTTGCAGCCCGGAGGACCGGGCTGCTCTATACATATAAGTTTAAGTGTTGGTATATGGGGATTGAGGTGGGAGAAGTTATTTAGAATTAAAGGTTTTCTAAACATTAAAAAGATTGTTAATCAGAATGTTCTTTCCCTTTATAAATTACGGGATACACAATATATTTACTTCCATAAAGTGAATCTGTAAAAATATATATGTTTTTCAAATTTAATATATAAAGTTGCTTATCATAAATTTACTATCGAAAAAACGACAGGTCCCCTTTTTTAGAACATCGAATTTTACTTATCGCATAAAAACGTAAAAGCGTACTTTACACAGTTCGTATTTTATATTCTTAAAGTGAAAGACATTTTTGAAAATAGGTGATGCATGTGTCTGGTTTCAATTTATATTTTATGCAGCCAACATTTACTTGTGGAATTGATGAAGTTTAAAAGGGTATCGTTATTATTCGATTTTCATCCGACTATAAGTTTTCAAAATATTCTCGACTATCGTCTCCATCATTTAGACGCATGCCTTTTTCACACATATCGAAGCGGTTTGATGATCAAGACTCATTTCCATTGTTTACTTTATTTATTTCCCGGGCGACAATTGATGGTTACATCAATGTTTTTCTTGTCTCTCTTGGTATGATCTTGCTTGTGTGCCATGGGATGAAGGGTTTTTAGTGATCTTTAACAAAATTTCTAGGTCAAATGTCAATAACAAAAAAAAAAAAGATTCGTAATATCCTTGTCCAGAGCACATTTCTCTCCAATTCACTCAACTAAAAGCAGTGTTCTACATGTACAAGATGGTCATATTCTCAATCTTACCTGCTTTATATTAATCTGGCTTAAAACCTTACTATGTAATGTTCATTATTCGGATTTCATGTCATTAAATTTAAAGACTGAAACTAATTATAATCACTGATATTGGTACATTAAAGGACATTGAGTGATCTTGTAAGATTTCTAAATAATATTCAAGCATACAATTCTTACATCAAATAATAATTTTATATGAAAATATATTGCAGATCGCAGATGATGTGAAGAAAATACAAAGGAAGCTGATGTTGAAACAAGTATAGAGTATTTAATGAAGTTTTTATGAATGAACTTAGATGTGAAAGACTACTTCGTTGTGTACCAAGATATATGATTTTAATTATTTTGATATCATTTTCAAATAATGTTTTTGCACATCAAATGAAATATTAAACATATGATTTGATAATGCTTTTTCCTTTTTATACATTTTCTTGATAGATTTTGAAAAGAAAACACAGTTTACCAAGGAAATTAATAATATAAATTTTGATTTAAACCTGCTGTTCTCTTTTCACATTCTAGACAAGAAAGATTAATCATGGAAAATACAGGGATCCTTGAGCTTCCAGTTGCTTGTCAATCATTTTTTCGAAATTGAAATGATCAACCTACCCTGTAGTTTCCATGGTATGGAAACTATTACACCACAATTACACATTGCTTCCCGTCTCAGAAAAATAAGGGAATCTTGAAGTTTCCCTGTCATTTCCTTTTATGAGACACCAGATAATTCCACCAAGTTTCCATCACACGGAAGCCGCTACGCTCCAATTCCATATAGTTTCTGAGTCATGGAAACTTGAGGAATCACGAGGTTTCCTCTAGTTTCCGTTCAAGGGAAATCTGAGGATTCCATTGAGTTTCCATTCCATGGAAACCACTACGCTCCGATTCCACATAGTTTCCTAATTATGGAAACCAGTGGAATCTTCAGGTTTCCCATTACGGGAAACTACATGGAGGCTCAGGAAACTTCAGGTTTCCTGAGGTTTCCGTGGTTCGGGATACCTTATGGAATCGGAGCGTAGTAGTTTCCGTGGTACGGAAACTTGACGGAATAACCTGGCATCCGCTGTGGAAACCACTAGGAAACATGATGTAAACATGAGGTTTCCATGTGGTTTCCATATAGTTTCCCATGACGGGAAACTGCTTTTTTCACCCAGTGATTTCTTTAACATATACATAAAATATATAATATATTATTTTCTTTGTTGTTTTGCTTCTTTTAAACTTTCTAGGCCTAAAAAAATTGTATTGTTTGTTTCCTGTAACATTCCCAAAAAATTAAGGGTCGGTAGGTCGGGATTTTATTTTGCATATGAATAAGGGAATCAAACATCCCGGGACTGAATTACCCAGGTGTTGTATCAACAGTGGACACCCAACATGGCTGCCTAGCGGCAGAAAACGAACTTCAAAAAGTTGTGGGGGGAATTGATTACTCTTTAAATTTAAGGTAAATGTTGACTGAGTTGCATATTTTATATCTCAAATAAAAGTTACAATTAGTATTTATGAATAAAAAGAATCAGCTGATTGATCAAACCAAAGAGCAAACACAGATTTGGTAGAATAAAAAATCCAGCCAAGGGTAAATTGAATGGGTCGGTTAGGTTACAGGAAACAAGCAAAATTTTTTTTAGGCCCTATATGTGCACCTTTCGGTTTTTAATTACCTCTGCTTATATGCAGACGCTATTTTCTTTCATTAAAAAGAAATTTCAAACCAGAAATGGATAATTCCGGAATGTATTGTATTAGAAGTATGTTTCCGATGATCGACAAGATCGGACAAGAAAATGACATTAACCTTTGGATCTTTCGGTTTCAAAGCTGGACCAAAATTTCCGACATTTTCACAGATGTGGAAGCAATTTTTGATGCTCTGAAGTTGTTAGTGACAGATTCCGATGTCAACTGGCTTGAGAACATAGAGTTTGCATCTGCTAACGATTCAATTTGGTAGCAAAGAATTGTCCACTGACCCCAGACGAAATTTGTCGACGTTCAAAGATATGACAATTCCCTCTATGACAGAGACAGTTATTACTGCCTGTATACAAGAGCAGAAGTTACCTCAAGGGGTTCTTGGCATCAGCTCGGGAAATGTGGGTTATTCCGAGGGTCTGATTTTTGGAGAATGCCTTTTGTCACATAAAAGATGGGGAAACGTTCTTAAGATTGGTTAATTTTACTGATAGAGATATCATTACAAAAAGGGGATGCCATTGGGAAATTTTGTAGCTTAGCTCGGGATGACATTTTAGTTAAGCTACCCGATACTAAAACAAATTATACCACTGAGGAAAATGCTCACTTGACCCCAACCCCTACTCAAGGATGCAGAAGAAGCAAGCTCTTTGGAAACACCAAAGCAATCTCCGAAGGATCTCGAGTCCATTGTCACTGTGCAAACAAAGTACATTGAGGAATTAACCGAGGCCGTGGTTGCGCTTCAGGCACAGTCCACCGTGTGTCCCATAGGAGAGCCGTCGTCCAGAGATGCACACGTCCGGTGCGAGTTATGTTTCAAGAAGGGCCATTCCGCACGTGAATGCGTAATAAAACTAATAACCGTAAACAAGTGCCGACAGATGTTCAGTGCTTTTATTGTCGTAAAACCGGACATATCAAGCGACAGTGTAAGAAATTCCGCGAGGATACGGCCACGTTAAACGAGAGAGACCAAGTAAGACCGGGGATGTTAATAATAATAATAATAATAACAACGCCAAACCAATAATATTTTAATTGTGGCCTTACATTAACCTTGATTTATCATATCACAGTTGCATGTATGCACATTAATTAGTGCAAAATTCAACTGCAAACTCTTTATGAAAGAGTAAAAAGACACAGTGCTATAGTGAAGTCAAACACCATTCCTCTGACGTTGAACGACATAGCCCCCCCCCCCCCCTCTTTACAGATAAAATCTTACATTTGAGCCCAAACAACAGTGTGATAAAATTTGGACATTCTTGGGATTTAAAACGAGTCACCCGCGTGAAAATTCAACACGCCTACCATTACACTATCAAAGACCATCGCATCAAAGTAGCAAGTAATAAATATCTAGAGTACGGGTTAATCAATTTTTAAACAAATTGCATATTTAGCATTCTGATAGGCTCTATTTAACCTATAAATATCATGAAGAAATAATGAAAAACAAAAAAGTTCAAAAAATTACCATTTTTAAAACACTTCCTGTGACGACCGGAAGTTTCGACGATATATACGTGGCCGTAAGAAGCAATTTCGGGGGTGTAATTTCAGTTGGGAGGGGACACAACAACGAAAAAAGGAAAATGCCTTGAAATGAATAAAGTGGCACAAACATAAAGAAGGTTCATTTTATGTTTTCTATCGTATATTTATTGGCAATTTATTGTTTTCGGGGGGGGGGGGGGGTCATTGTTCCGACTGGCCTGATATAGTCCAAAGGATTGTTCTATCTCTAAAAACTGTTTTCTTTAAATATCCTTCGGTTTTTAGCCAAAAGATATACTGTCGCCAGCTTCACTTTAGACTTAAGACAGATATCTAGTTGTCTTAAGATTAAGATAGATCTTAAGATTATCATAAGATATGACAATTTTGTGAAACGGCTATGGTGCAATCTTATAATTTTCGGTCTTAAGACAGATCTTAGTCATAAGATAGTTTTGTGAAACGGGCCCCTGTTTTTTTGTGTCGGTGTTTTCCCCGGTTGTAATACTGTAATTAGTTCCTGTATTGCCGCGTTTATATCTCCCACCATTTCAGATCTACTGGCTTCTCTCTCTATTTTCTCTTCACCTGGTTCTTGTGCCTGCTGTCTAGTAAAGGCGTTTTTCGTGCAAGTGATATCTTCGATCGGGTACCCTTAATACCCCAGATACACGCATTCTCCATCGATTGTGACGATGTGAATATGCCTTCCAAGAAAACACTCGTAGAACATGTTTACTGTACTTCATTCATAAATTCCAAAAGGTAACATTTAACTCGCTAAAACTCTACTCTAAGACTCAAAACTAACATACACACAAATCTCATCTCTTTCCCCCAGACTCCTCCCACATTTCTAAAGATAGCCAATGAAATGGAATAAAACTGAAATTGTAACATTAAAAGAAATATGGTTGACATTAATTTAGGTAGAATTCTCAAGACAGGAAATGTTTAACCTTTTATCTCTACGCTGAATGTAAAACTTCCAATACTGTCATTGATACCGTGGGACAGGAGGAGGAGAGATGTCAAATTGATAAATATAACACAGATGCTGAAACATAAAAGTAAAAGTGAAATACATAAATTCACTCCTTGACACTCTTATTGATCCCGCGACAGGAACTATTCCCCGAGGACGTGCCCTGAGGGATGGATATTTCTTTTTAACTCACTATCCCTTTATATGCCCTTTCCAATTCGCTAATTAAAAATACATATTTAAGGGAAAAGGTTGCGCAACTCCGGAAAATTTTCATCCGTTGTCCGTCTGCTGTAATTTGCGTTTTTAGTCTACCCACTGGTATCAATGCTGGTTTTGAACTTCTGTTATTTATTTCCTTAGTTGTCTTTTGACTTATTAACCACATTTTCACAAACTCCTTCTGATACCATTCTTCTTGTCATGGTATACCAATATTGATATCAGATTCTGCTTAGCATCAATTTATTTGGCAACAGCCTTCTTTTAAATGGTGTCGTTCCACAAACAATTGAATCCACCTGTGAAGTCTTCAATTCCAATGCCAAAATATGAACCCCAGAGCGTTTAACGTAACGAATAGGGCAAGTGTCGGTACTCTTGATTGATTTTGAGCCAAGGTTCGTCTAGACTGAAGTTGGCAGCTAACTATCCTCTTGACATAGGTTTGCGGAAATCTATTGAGAAAAAAAAAATATTTGTAAGATATCAATCGACATAAAGATATTTAACAAAATGTTATTCATAAATTCTAAGAAAATATTGTTTAGAAATCTAGTGTGTATTGTTAACATAAATCAATCGATAGTCCAGGAATTGGGAATAAATGTTCATTTATGCGTCAAATCCCGTTTGCAAAGAATTCATGCCTCTGCGTATCGATTCGTAACTTCCTATTATTTCAGGAATTTCAGTATGGTGTGAGTAAACTTTTCGAAATGTTGGTCTTTTATCAAGACCTTTTGGCCACTTTTTTATCAAAGAACGAGGACACATTTAATTAGCATTCAGGAGGAATCTGGGCGCACTTCAAAAGTGAAAATTTCATTGTTTTGCCAAAGAAAATTTTAGCATTCTTTTGATGTATCGGATTCCTGTGAAATAGGAAAGGGAACATTTTAGATTTGAAAAAAAATCGCAAGATGGATCATTTGATACAGAATATTTAATTTTAAAACTCGTTTTTTTCTTAAAATTTGCTCTCTCTAGATGAGCTATCCATTATTTTAAAACGTTCCTTACGTGCATTTAAAACGTGCTATCATTTGTAAAAACATGGAGAGACCATAAAAAGTGAGATCCCATTGTGTGATTGCGGTGCTTCATAGATGTTTTAAATTCCAAACTGTTTGTGTAGCTCAGTACTACACGTTACCAGTCCAGAACTCGCAGGAATCAATAATTTTTTGGTTCAATCTTTTTTTTATTATTCAACAATGATTAATTTTGTAAATTTAGTTTTATGTACTGATTAAAATTTTGAAATAAATAAATTTTGGTTCAGTTGCAACTAGAGCGAAAGCAATTCTTCCAACCTTATGAAATTTTAATAAAACTAAAATTATCGTACAGGAGTTTATTATTTATGTGAAGAGTTCCTATGTTTAAACTGTTAAAATAAGCGGACTTAAATACTAAATTTTGTCAAGGTATTTCAATGTAAATGTAACATTTTACTATGTAAGTAACTTTGTAAAGTCTGTCCAGCTGTGGTCAGCCGACCAAAGCGTAGATTTTTAAACTATTATTATTCGTACACAAGATTCCTGCAGATCACACGCCAATCTTTTTTGTAACAGCGTATGCCTGGGCCACGGGCTTTCAATTATGAGACATATTATTGATATGAATCTTACAGAGGGAGATAATAAAGAAATATAAAAATAGTTGCGATTCCTAGAAAATTCCTCTTCTAAAAAACCAATGGCAGATTATCACCAAAGTTACACATGAAGAGGGAGGTATTGTAAATTAAAATTATTTTCAGCATTACCCTAAGGCAAAAAGTATAATCTCACGGTCACTTCAAAAATACCTACATGATACATGTAATTATTTCGTTAAAATTTTTATAGAACGCCTGCACTGTCTTATCATGACTAAATTATGTTTATGATGTGCAATTATCACTATCTGATGTGCTTTTGTCATTATGTGATGTACATTTGTCATTGTGTGATGTGCTTTTGTCATTATGTGATGTGCTTCTGTCATTGTGTGGTGTGCAATTGTCATTATGTGAAGTGTTTTTGTCATTACGTCGTGTTAAGTCTGTATATGTGGTGCAAACATCTTTTCGTGATGTGCAAGTTTTATCTTTCTGATAACGTTGATCTCATCATTTTTCCTTCTAAATATACAACAATAGATGACTAAAAATAATCGGACATGGATATATTGTTTGAAATATTCTTCTAATACTTAATTTTAATTCAAATAAATTCTAACAAATATTTTGGTTTTAAGTTTTTTGAATTAAATTTCTCCATGCAGAGTGAAATATCACCCTATTCGCAGAATCTGCCTAAATACTACAAATGCGGATCCAGGAGTTTTTAAGGGGAGTTCCATCCTACTCAAGAAAAGAAATCATTCCCATAATTTTTTTTTTTGACAATTATGAGAAAAAGCCCGTAAACCAACTTCTTCAAACATGAAACCCTATTTAAGGAGGGGGTTGGGTTTGTTGTGCTATATAATACTAGAAAAATTTGAAATGAATTAAATTTATAAAGGGGGGGGCAGCCAGAGAAAAAAATCACACTTGCTGGAAAAAGACATGACAAGAAAAAAAAAAGGGGGGCAAAACTCGAAAATCTTATTTCGTGAGGGGGGGGGGGTCCAACTTCTTTCAATATCAAATTTTATTCATAAAGTACTACATTACCCCTAATTGACTATACTGCCTTACAAGAGGCCCACGGGCCACATCGCTCACCTGAGCACAATAGCTAGGAAAAACAAATCAATTCAGTATTGGAAATTTTACGGGGGAACTTCAATTTTAAACTACCTAAGGATGCCTCCATATCATTATAACAAATGGCTTTGCTATTCTTGAGCAGAAGATTTTTAAGATATTTTTTCCTATATATTCTTTTGTAAAATGTGATACCCCACTTTGGCCACTCCCTACCCCCAGGGATAATCATTTGAACAAACTTGAATCTACACTACCCGAGGAAGCTTCCATATCAATAAGACTAAACATGGCTGTGCTGTTCTTGAGCAAAAGATTTTTTCCTATATATTCCTATAAAACTTTGATCCCCCATTGTGGCCCTATCATACTCCCAGGGGTCATGATTAGAACAAACTTGAATCTAAAATACCTGAAAATGCTTCCAAATCAATATGACTAAACATGGCTTTGCTGTTCTTGAGAAAAATATTTTTCCTATATATTTCTATGTAGAATTTTGATCCCCCATTGTGACCCCATCCTACCCCAGGGGTCATGATTTGAACAAAATTGAATCTACACTATCTGAAGATGCTTCCATATCAATATGACAAATCATGGTTTATCTGTTCTTGAGAAGATTTTTAAAGTTTTTTTTCTATATATTCCTATACAAGAGGCCCAAGGGCCTTAACAATTTAAAGGATCCATAAACTGATAAATGAAGCTTTGTTGCCCAAAAGCAAGAAAAAAGTATGATTAGGATCAACAAAATAATTGGTCTAGTATCTATCTGTCCCCGGTTTATCACAATTACCATGCAGACTAGTAACAAAATGTCTATTTTTTCACGCCAAATTAATACTTCTCACATTGGCCTCTCTTGGCCTTTGAAGAACATTTAAAAGAATTGTTATTTTTGTCTCAATTTTATTCATCTATTATTTCAAAGTCTACCTGATCATTAAAACTATGAAAGTACTTTTTGAATTATACAATAAATATTCTTGCATAATTCTCGTATTCTATTAACCTTTCAAGTACATTATTTACAGTGATTAATTAACAAAGGGGGATGGCAAAGGGGAAAAACTTTGCTCAGCAGAATACAAGTTAATAGAGCCCTGGCCAGGACCAGAACACTTGACTAAATGGTCCATGTGTTCAAAATTCTAGTAAAAATAGCTTTGCGTACATGTGTATTAAAAATGTTTACTCTGTTTGCCTCGAATATGCCCAGAAGCATAGAAGATTTTCAAAGAAATGTATTTTCACTATATTATTAAATAAATAAAGCCCCACCCTTACACCAGAACATCTGACCCAGGAGCCATGAACTCACAATTCTAGAAGGAAGAAGCAGACTTGCTCATCATAACTAAACACTTGTTTCTTAGCTTTATGTTTGTTTGTTTGTTATTTAACGTCCCTCATGAGAATTTTGCACTCATGAAGACGCCACCACTTGCCAGTGGAGAGCTGCAAATTTTGTCCTATACTCGGCACTTAGGCCATTGAGTAGTGAGGGATCTTTTTCTTGCCTGCACCTACTGGGACACGGGACCTCAGTTTATACGGTCTCATCCGAAGGACTGGTCTCCACGTCCCACAGTGGGATTCGAACCCACGACGTAAGGATCAACTCCTTACGCCGCGACTCTAGATCTAGAGCGAAGGCTCTAACCACTGCGCCACGCTGGCGACTTTTAGCTTTTTAACAAGTAGTAGAAAATATATTTTGAAAGAAATTATGCATTTTCACTATATAATCAAAAGAGCCCTACCCTTTTCACCAGATCCCTGACCAAGTACATTAAATTCACAATTTTGGAAGAGGCATTCGTCCTTATCACCACCATGCACTTCCTCTGTTTGAATAATACCCAGGAGCAGAGAAGAAGATTTTCAAAGAATTAATGCATTTTCACTATATAATCAATAGAGCCCCGTCCTAACACCAGAACTTCCTAACCCTGTGGCCATGAAATTCATAATTTTGGAAGACGCACTCTTGCTAATCATAACTTTGAACTTACTTAGTTTATTTAATACCCAGGAACAGAGAAAAAGATTTTCAAAGAATTAATGCATTCTCACTACATAATTAATAGAGCCCCGCCCTAACACAAGAACCCCTGACACTGGGGCCATGAATGTCGAAATTTTGGAAGGGGCACTCTTGCTCATCATACCCAGGAGCAGAAAGATTTTCAAAGAGTTAATGCATTTTCCCTATATAATCAAAAGATCCCCGTCTAACAACAGGACCCCTGACCCTGGGGCCATATGCATGAATTTCACAATTTTGGAAGAGGCACTCTTGCTCATCATAACTATGTACTTAGTTACTTTATTAAATACCCAGGAGCGGAGAACAAGATTTTCAAAGAATTAATGCATTTTCCCTATATAGAGTGTAAGCAATAGAGCTCTGCCCTATTACCAGAACCCCTGACCCTGGGTCCATGAAATTAACAATTTTGGAAAGGCACTCATAACTACATACTTAGTTTATTTAATACCCAGGAGCAGAGAAGAAGATCTTCAAAGAAATAATGCATTTTACTATATGTTATATATAGTCCCACCCTAGCACCAGAACCCCTGACCCTGGGGCCATGAATTTCACAATTTTGTTTGAGGGCTCAATGCTTATTACAATCATGCCAACAGTTTGACTGCTTGATGTCCAGGAGTAAAGAAGAAGATTTTTATAGATTGCAATAATTTTGGTGGTTTTAGCCCCACTCCTCAGGCCCCAGGGGCAGGGACCATGAAATTCACAATTTTTGATTTCCTTCACCCATAGATGCTATTTGCCGAATTTGGTTGAAATTGGTAAAAAGCTAAAAATGTTCAAACGTTAACGAACATAGCACGACGACGGACAAAAACGGATAGCAATATGTCACCTGAGTGACTCAGGTGACCTAATAAATCCCCCATTGTGGCCCCACCCTACCCTCATGGGTCATGATTTGAACAAACTTAAATTTACACCATGTAACAAAGGTTTCCTATAAGTTTCAACTTTTTTGGGCCAGTGGTTCTTGAAAAAAAAGATTTTCAAAATATGCCACCAATTTTTCACTATTTCTGAATTATTTCGCCTTGTATGAATTCCCTCCACGCAAGGATGTTTGTATCAAGTTTGGTTGGAATTGGCCCAGTGGTTTTGGAGAATTAGTCGAAAATGTGAAATTTTACAGACGGACAAACAGGCGGACTACAGACAAAATGCGATCAGAAGAGCTCACTTGAGCTTTCAACTCAGGTGAGCTAAAAGGTGTGGGGGGAGGGGGGACCGACAATTCAATGAACATTTTCAATAGTAAAAAGTTGTGTTTGGAAAAAATTGATGCTAAGTGCCTGGAATTTAATTTTCTAAAAGAGGAAATTTTCAAATGATATATCTATGTCTGAAACTTTGCTTAGTCATCTATATATTAAAAATTGATTTGTTTGATTAAAGTTTCAGTTAGAGAAAATTTAAGTTCTGATTTTTTTAATTATCATAGATCTTACTGTGTCGCAAAATTTTTTATTGGGTTATCTCTCTCCCCTCTCTCTCTGTACATATATATATATATATATATATATATATATATATATATATATAATACCTCTACTGAGAATACTCGAAATTGATTGGCTTGTTTGAAAGCTATAAAACTCAATAATGACTCCAAAATGTATAGTGTACAGCAATAATGACCTAGGAATCATTCCACTTGGGATATAATGACCAGTAGCCCTTTTCACAAAAATCTTACAAATAAGAAAAAAAATTCCCGTTCTTGAACAAGTATCTAAGCTGTAGAAGGAACAAAAAATTTTATATTTCTATTACATAAGATTAATTGTAAAAATAATATTCAAGGGAAAAAAATATATTTACTAAACAGAGTTGTCAAATTTTTATCTTAGTCAATTAAGAAGTCATTATTAGGGCCCCGCTCTGCGGCTGCGCTATAGTGATAAGTCTGTCCGTCCGAGATCTTTTGTCCGGAGCATATCTTCTCTCTCCTTGGCCCAATCTGGCTCGTATTTCACCCACAGAGTGTCTTTGGGTAAAAGGTGTGCAGTGACCTTGAACTATGTTTCTAGGTCTAAGGTCAAGGTCATAGCAGATTTATTTGAAAAATCCTTGTGCGGAGCATATCTTCTCTCCTCTTGATCCATTGTGGCTCATACTTCACTCACAGAGTGCCACTGGCCAATGGATGTGCAGTGACATTGAACAAAGTTTTTAGGTCAAGGGTCAAGGTCAAATATATCCTCTCTGTTTAAATTCTCATCCGGAGCATATTTTCTTTCTCCTTGGCCCAATCTGGCTCATACTTCACCCACAGAGTGCCTTTGGGTAAAGGGTGTGCAGTGACCTTGAACCATGTTTCTAGGAGTAAGGTTAAGGTCATAGCAGAATTATATGAAAAATCCTTGTCTAGAGCATAACTTCTCTCCCCTTGGTCCAATATGAACCATACTTCACTCACAGGGTTCCACTGGTTCATGGATGTGCAGTGACCTTGAATAAAGTTTTTAAGTCAAGGTCTACGTCAAAAATAGCCTCTCTGTTTAAATTCTTTGTTCGGTGCATAATTTCTATCCCTCAGATCCAGACAGCCTCAAACCTTACCAATTGACCTAGGATACGGAACAATTGTGATTTTCCATCCATATTTCTGATAGATGATATGCAACAATTTTTATAGAGGATATGCAGCATTCGTGATTTTTGTGCCTTTTTTTGATAGAAGGTATTGAGCACTCGTAATTTTCTTGCCATTTTTTATTATAACAAGGATAACATAGAAACCATTTAGACTCAAACAACACATCCCTTAATAGTACACAAATGTTCCTCTTCAAAATAAACCCTTTTCAGCTTCCTTGCATTTTCATGTTCATTGCTGAAAGCAGGGCCCTTTGAGATGGCCACCATCTCAATGGTATCTAGTTATTAATCCATATTGTCAGCTTAATAATGACTTCTTAATTGAAATTCCTTTTATATTAAACTTATTGCATAAAATAATGATCATATGTTTAGAAACATGTTTTATAAAATGTACATTGTCTATTTACGATACAGAATACGACAGATCTATACGTCAGTTGAAAATTTCGTTACAATTCAGGGAATGCAAAGTTACAATTCAGGGAATGCAAAATCGGCTCTTCTTTTTTGTAAAATTCTGCGCCAGATTTTCATTGTGATCAGTATTAGTAACCTTCAGTTATAACAATGTATGTTACTGTCAATCAAAAACCGTTTTAATCAGTAAATCTTGATGAACAAGATGTGTTTGTGAAACTGATGCCCCTGTATGGCAGCTAATGGCGAAGGTTAATGTTTCTCAAATGCAAGTCAAACTCAAAGTCAATAGATCAAAAATGTTGGTACCCAAAGAAAGGTCTCGTCTTAAGGAATATATATGAAATATGAAGACCCTAACACCAACCGTTGAAAAGTTATGATGAAGGTTAATTTTGTTTAAAGTAAATAAAACGTCAAGGTCAAATGGTGCCCAAGGGAAGGTCCTGTCACAGGTAATAAACATGTGCGTAAAATATAAAAGCCCTAGAATCAAACGTTCAAATATTATGGCCAAGGTTAAATTTTTTAAAAAGTAGGTCAACTCCAAGGTCAAGGTGCCAAAAGAAGGTCTTGGCACAAGGGATATACATGTGAATTATGAAAGCCCTAGCACCAACTGTTCAAAAGTTATGACCAAGGTTAAAGTTTTTAAAAAGTAGGTCAACTCCAGGTCAAAGTTGTTGGTATCTAAAGGAAAGTCTTGTCACAAGGAATGCATATGTGAAGTACGAAAGCCCTAGCAAAAACTGTTGAAAAATCATGACCAGGGTTAACATTTTTCTAAAGTCGGTCAAAATCCAGGGTCAGAGTCAAAGGGTCGAAGATGTTGGTATTCAAGGAAGGTCTTGTCACAAGGAATACTCATGTAAAGTACAAAAGTTATGGCCAATATTAGAAATTTTCAAAATTAAAGTAGGTCAAACTCCAAGGTCAAAGTTGGTTGGTTGGTGGTATCCAAAGGAAGGTCTTGTCACACGAAATACACATGTTAAGTATGAAAGCCCTAGCATCAACTGTTTAAACGTTATGACCAAGGTTCAAGTTTTCTTTTCAAAAGTATGTCAAACTCCAAGGTCAAAGCGTCAAAGTTGTTGGAATCCAAAGAAAAGTCTTGACACAAGGAAAGCACCTGTGAAGTTTGAAATCCCAAGCACCAAATGCTCAAAAGTTACAGTTATGGCCTAGGTGAAAGTCTAATAAAATTTTGCAAAAGTGGGTCAATCCCCAAGATCAAGGACAAAAGGTCAAATATGACGAAACCTAAAGAAATTTCTTGTCACAAGAAATACACATGTGAAATATAAAAGCCATAGTTTCAACCAATCAAACGTTATGGGTAAGTTTAAAGTTTTTGCGGACAAAAAGACAAACATACAGATAAACAGACAGACGGACATGGCAAAAACAATATGCCTCCGAATCTTCGATTACGGGGGCATAAAAAACTTACACGACTTTCAGGCGTCAACGTAAACAACTTCACTAGCAAACATTGATAACTGAAAGAATTCTCCGACATCGAGTATCCTACATTAAATCTATATGTTATCCTTATATCGGTATAATAAAACAATTGATTATGGTTACGCCTTATTAGCTCAACATGGTGCAAAAAGGACCCTCGACCTAGCCCACTCGCTGAACTGACCTCACATAGGCTGCTACGCGGCCTCGGTCAGGTCACCTTGTGGGTCAGATCTCAATCCTTATTTCACCATGTTAACCTCAAAACGGGTAATTAATTGTATCATTGTAACATTAATACATTACACTAAGTGCTTTTCTCGATCGAAAGACAGCATTAAATGACTATACATATGTTTTTATAACAGTTTACCAACATGGTACAAGTATGTTAATATTACCTGGTATCCACAAATCTGAAGGACACTATGTTGAATCATCTGACTTTTTTTTACGCTTTTTGGAGTTTCTGATGAATTTTTCTTCAAGGTCAGATTCAGATTCCTCCGTTTCTACCACAGGAGGACAAACATTTTCCAACTAGAACGATACAAAACAGATTATAGACTCAAATGAATACACTGGATTGAAATCTGCACGGTTTCCATGAAATATGAAGACAATAAACAGAAATTACTAGTAAGCTCAAAGGTCTATTGAAACAATACAGATTTGGAGCAAATGATTCAAGGGCAAGGGTTTCTCCGACTTAGGCTCTTTTCTCCTACCGCATTTGCTTGCCTACTACATGTATATAATACTTAGCGAATATGCATCGAGCTCGAAGACATCGAAGTCAGCTAATCCGGGGTCTGAAATTTGCAGGGAGGGTACTAGTGGTCAGTTACTACTTCTGTTAAAAAGATGGTAATGGTACCATCTCTTGTTTCCCAGATCCACCCCTCAGTATTTTTTGATTGCTATATACCTGTAATTTTAAGTGAATAAACATCGGGCTCGGAGACATCGAAGTCCCTAGTGTCCGAGATTCACCCCTCAAGATGTTGTGCCTACTATATATGTATAATACTAACTGACTAAACATCTGGCTCAGAGACATCGAAGTCCCCAAGTGAAAAAACATCAGGTTTGGAGACATCAAATTCCAAACCTCATGGTCAGAAATGTTTAGGGGAGGGTACTAGTGGTCAGTTATCACTTCTGTAAGCTTTTCTGATGAAACGGTTGTTTAAATTCTTTAAATTTCAGCATTATCTTGTGGCTATCGCATGTCATGCACTAAAGCATGTTAAATGACATTACGAACGAAAGAAAGAATAGATGTGGGAGCATCCTGTTACACTCTGCATGGTCTATGCATTATTGTATCCACTAAAGGGAAGAGAAGTCGCGGGGCATTTGACAGTTTGATATAGTTGCATCAAACAGATAATTATTTAACTGTTAATTTTAAGTATTGATTTTGTAGTTCGTAATCGCGTATTACAGCTACGAATTACGGAAAGTTGTCAATGACCTAAACGGACATAAACAGTAATGAATGAACAGATTAGGGTGCATGGTAATCCGAAATTTCTCTGACTCTAAACCCTGCTTTTATCTATCTATATTAAGACATGTGCAGCGAATCTCAGATTATAGGTGCATGTGACTAAAATCCCGCAATGCAGAAAAAGTTGTCATCCAACTTTTTAAAAATCTCTCTCTCTCTCTCTCTCTCTCTCTCTCTCTCTCTCTCTCTCTCTCTCAATTTTTGAATACAATCAGGAAAGCATTTTCATCATTTTTCATGATATATTTTGAATTATTGATTGATTAATTATTTTTCACTAAAAATTACTTCTCCTTCAAATAAAAAAAAATTGGAGCCCAAATCCATTTAAAAAAGATCTACCTTGAACAGGTTGGAGAGAATACTCGAAATCGGGTATTATCCGTAAATCGCGTATAGTCCTCGATATTAGGGTATCGTTGAATCCGCGAAATCGGGTATACCGTGCAACTTTCTGTAAAAACAGAAAAATAAAGCAACGGTGCATTGTGTCAGTTATATTAGTGTTACTTGTACATCAGTATCTTGGGAGTTTATTTTTATTGAAATCAATTTCAATGGTTGTCTGACAAGTTTAAAATCACACGACAAACACTGCTGGGGTAGCAAAGAAGGCACGGTGGCGTCATTATTTTTCAGTACAAGTTCTAAAAACAAATAACTACATGTCGTTTCCGTATAAATCATTCCCGAAGCTTCATTTCTTAACCTGTGTATTATTCACAAAATGTAAAACTTTGAAGAAATTTCACTACTAACGCTGTGTTATGTATTATTACTTAAAAATGTATGGTTTCCCTTTCACGTTAAATTTAAATTATTCCTCAGTTGGTAAGTATAAGTATTTCTCATCGATATAGAATACCTACGTTTTCGTAAGGGGAAAAAAATAAAATAAAAACAAACAAACATAAAAAAAAAACAACAAAGGGAAAGCAGGTTGAAAAATGATATAAAATGAAATAAATTTAAAGCAATATGAGCTGCAACTTTGATGTCAGAAATTTTTGTTGCAAAATTGTAATTAACTATTTCAATGACAGAAAAAAGAACGTTTATAAACTTTTGTTGTTCATATTTGCGATGGATGAAGTATTTATAAGCTTTGATTGAAGCAAAATTACATTATTGTCGTCCTGTACAATACTGATTTCTTATATACATGTAATACTACATGTATGTATTTGATTGTATAGAATCCTATATTCTGAAACAATTTGATACTTTATTTCTGCTAATTAATAAAAAAATGTTTAAATTGCATACAAATTTATCATAATTACACATTATAATAGCAAAATAAAATTCTCAAAAATGCAGCTCATATTGCTTTAATATCTACATGTGTACATGCATGTAAACTTAAATATATTTTTAAAAATTAATACAGTGTATATTGATAGAGGTTAAGAATCTTTAGTAAAATCATCAGTTCCTCCTATGGTGTATGTATACAGTCCTGCAATTCCCGCTGGGAAAGGAGGAGGTGCGTATTTTTTAAAGAAAATATCTTAATGTCAGTTTACCAGGATTTTCGTTTAGCTGGGGGGGGGGGGGGGGCTGGCTTGGTTCGTATAAATAAATTTAAAAAATCCAATTCGCACATCTTTTCATGTGCTTATTATACATTCTCAATATAGAGCTAATATTCAAATGTGAATTATATATTAAAGTTTTCACATATTATACTGTTTTTACTTTTTATACATATGAACAAACTGAAGTGGAGTGTTCAATCGCGTCTTAGCTTAAGTCTTGAGCTGCATTGTTTTTAATTAATCATCCATACAGATTGGAGACACTTTCTTTTATTATTCTTATAGTATTGGATAGACAGGGTAGATTTTCCCTTCAGAGTCTGTAGTTTATTTTAGGTTATATCGCTTTAAACCTCATTATAATATGCTAAAATACGTTATCTGATTGATTCTAGACAGTACGTCACGTGACAGGGAACTAAAACTTCATAATTCCCTGTCTTTTCTGTAATCTGTGATACTTATTACTCATGGTTATCACTTTTTGTTATTTTTCATCTATTGTGAAAAATGTGTTAAAAATAAACATGAAGTTTAGTTGTTTTTTTTTTTTTTAAAAAAACTAGTCGAATTTGGTAGAAAATAACAGGTTTCTATTTTAACCTCATATTGTTTCGGTATATAAACAATTATTGCATGAATGTTTTGGAGATATGAAGAATTCTATTCACTCAAGAGGGCAAAATAGGGAATCAATATGATTTTTATTAGATGAATAGATCTTCTCTCTTTATCATGCAATGAATATATACCATTCAATGACGTTTAGCACAAAACTCTACAATAACATTTTACATTTAATTTGCTGGTTTTGAAAGGGGAGGGATGTTTCTCTTGGACACATGCATAACACATTCGAGGTTAATTTTCGCTTGACCGAGATAGTCCGGACAAGGAATAATTAATGTAAGCAGCTAGTAACAACCGTTATAGCTATTCACTTTCGTCCCCTGAAGTCGCCGAAAAATGGTAAAATATTGCCGACTCATCGAAATTAAATGATCAACAGTTATTTTCTCTCACAAGCTATGTTGCTGAGAACATCATTGTCTTTGCTAAAACGTTGGAAGCAAGTTGAATCCAAAGAAAATTTTAATAATTTAAAAAAAAAAAATAAGAAAGAATATGTCGCCTTTTATAATTTCTGGAAATTAGCTTTAATTGTCATTCTCTGTTTATAAAACATAATTATGTAGTGGTACAAGATATATGTAAGGAATGCTATTCAACGACAAAAAAATCAACTGATGAAAATAGATTCATAACACCCCCCCCCTCCGAAAAAATACTAAATAATATACGCGTTATATTAGTTTTTGCCGTAATTTGAAACATTTTAACAATTAAATAGTTTATACATTTTGTAATGAATTATTTTTATGCACAAGATGAATGTTTAAGCAATTAATGACGCATAATTAAATACGATAGAAAACCCCCTGTTTAAATGTCAGATTATTTTGTGTGTGAAATGTGTTTCCGTATAAATTGAATTATTTACAAAATGTTTATGTTTGTCGTATTGATGTGGAAATATTATAAATTCCAGACTTCTGATATTTAATAGTTCTGTTGTGTTGGGTATGAACATAAAGAAGATGCAAATACATTTAACATTATATAAAATATAAAAGCAGAACGAACGTTTGTTTGGGTGCAGGTCATGAAATGTACTAAGCTCCACGGGTATTTGTTGTCATATGCGCATTAATTCAGACTTCCAAATTGTTATTTGGCTAGTGATACCTTTAGATAACATTTGTCTCTAGGTGAAAGTTGACTCGGCAAAATGCGCCATCCCATTGTTTAAGTGTTATAAGGTGATTACACCGCCTATACCCGATTTCGCGGATACAACGATACCCCGATTTCGGGGACTATACGCGATTTCACAGATAATACCCGATTTCGAGTATTCTCTCCAACCTGTTGAATGCAGTAAACAAATAAATGTTCTAACTTTTTTTAGTCAAAACATACAAAATGATATTTGATATGCTGCAAATGGATTTTCTCCCTAGATATATGTAGATTTTAGTATGAATTTTATCATAAATCTCAAAGAGGATTTAAAAGTAGGTTAAAAAGAGGGAGATTTTAAGTTACAAAGTCTGGGACTCAGTATCAAGACATTGTTGCAAAATATCCATGGATAATGAACAGAATATAATTATACATCTGTGTCATTATGGCATTGTTATTTTTTTTCCTGTTCTTGTCCAATATTCATGACAGTGTAATAAATTTGCAGAATTTTACAATTTGACTGATATCGGAAGTACTTGCACTGTAAACTTAAGGTTCATAGAATTTCATGTAAATTGTTTTAGCAAAATATCCACGGATAATGGACAGAATATATACATCTGTGTCATTATGACATTGTTATTTTTTCCTGTTCTTGTCCAATATTCATGACAGTGTAATAACTTTGCAGAATTTTACAATTTGACTGATATCGGACGTACTTGCACTGTAAACTCATTAAGGTTCATAAACCCTCTGGTCAATCATATAAAATGTTTCTTTAACTCTTATGATTTTCCAAAAGAAATGTATTTGTTAACTGAAATACAAACAATTATAGCATAGGTTGCGGGCCAAAATTGGACAAAAAAGACCCTTCAATTTGACAAATTTATAAAGGAATAATAGATATTTATGTCATTAAGAGTTATCTCTCTTATCAGAGTATTGATAAACCTTAAATCATGAATTATTTTGTATATATATATGAAATCTAATGTTATTGTCTCCTATTATTATTGTCACATACAGCTGCATTTATCTAGAATCTGGGACTGATCAAAGTTGCCCTCATGGCGCAGTGGTTACATCGTTTGCTCTTGAATCAAGGAGGAAGGAGTTGATCCTTGCAATGTGGGTTCGAATCCAGTCCTATGAATGAGACCATATTTGCAAAATATGCAGCCCTCCACTAGCAAGTGGTGGCATCTCAATATGAGTAAAAAAATATCTTGAAGGGATATAAAACAAACAATTTAAAATGATTGATATGTAGATATACGTTACTGCTGCTAAAATATCAGCTACCTGGATACAATGCCTGCAACATTTCACTCAAATGATAGCATGGAAAGCCTCACCAGTCATAGATGAGTAAAGACATTAGCTAAGGATGTCTAGAAATTAATACATGAAGTTGAAATCCTTTGGAATGATTAAATTGACATGAGGTAAAAAGGCTTTTATTGGTTTACTTAAACTTGTTTTCCAACAGCAGCACACTAAGAAACAAAGATAAACAAATACATGTACACATATACACCTCAAGCATGTTTATAAAAACATGTATTTCTAAACATAATTCCATTGACTATTTCATGAATAATATTGTAAAGGTACTTTAAGTAGGACATGTATACCAAGAGTCCTTCCATGAACTGATTATTTTGTAGCATAGAAGGAGTGTTATTGTAGTCAATTTTCTGCTCAAAAACATTATATAAAATTTAGTTTGACGAGTACACTTTCTCATAATCGTATCAATATTTACTTTTAAAATGCAGAAAAAGTCAGATTTTTTTATGTACAAAAACCCGTTATATAGGCTCTGTTTCCATGGAAACGGTGCTCGGAACATACATATTTTTTAGTTCATTGTTATGAAAATGATCCAGTTAACAATTTCTTGGATTTTTGTGGAATCGGTAAATATGGATGATAGTGATTTTTACTTGTTTGTTGTCTTGACAACGGTTTCACTTTAATATGGAAAATTGAAAAAAAAAGACTCCTTTTTTACCCTTTTTTTACATTTAAGAAAGGAAATAAAAATTTAGGATAAATTAAACATAGAATATAATAATTCATGCCATTTCGATTACTTTAATGTGATAATATAAAATAAATCAATTTTCTCATTGAAAATAATAGAACATTTAAAACGTCAAATACCTCAATTTTGGCGTCTTTTTCTCAAAAAATGGGGCAGGCAATATCTTTTAAAATTGTGTTGAATGATGAAGCTATTTATACTAAGCAAATTGGTTATGACAAATGTACAATAGAAAAAGAATGAAATTCCGAGGGGGTCGAGAACCTTACCCTAAACTTTCAAAATAGAAATGAGCATAATTTTTGTTGACAGATAAAGATTTCCCGATTATTTATAGGTAGAATGTTCCATCGTTAAAATGATAAATGTCCCAGGGACCCGGTTCAACGATTGAATGCGTTCTGTGTATTTGCAATGTAGCAAAGAAAATACGGGAGATTACTCTAACTCAATGCATACTCAATGAACAATCCAGACAGTTCCGAATGTCAACAGGGCGTGTAAATTCGAATCGAGAAAAAACGTTCAGAAATGAGTTGAATTTTCATCTTTACATGGCTTATTTTCTTAAGGTCAAAAGTCATTCACAACCTCAAAAAGGTTTGTTTTAATTATTATGATAGTAATTTTCAGTGCAAATCCTTTTGTATTACTTAAAATCGTTTCGGAGCGATTCTGCATTTTTTTTTGCTTCATTGCGAGTACTAGTATATGTGAAGCATTATAACTGTGGCTAGGGCTCGTCCCGAGACACAGTTAGACTATTCTAACTAGATTATTTAATGCTATACAGAACAACTATTTAATTTGTGCAGGTTTGAATTGTTTTCTATTGCTCAAGAAGTATTGAGGAAATTTGAGTTGTATGTTTTACAGAAACTGATGTACATCATCCAGACACTCAGGGATCAAAGAAAAGACCATGAGAGATCGAATCCTTGTCTTGGTTTGATACCATATGCTAAAATTAATATTTTTCTTTTATCAGGCGGTTGAAGAAATCCATCAAAGCAATATTACCTTCACATGTACACCTTCTAAAGAACTCAAGAAATATATTGTATGTGATAGATTTGGTTATGTAAGGCCTGATGCTCTGGAGTTCGTCACCAATTCATTTTCACCAACACACAGCCATATTTATAAAGTATATATATATATATATATATATAGCGCTTTCATTAAAAATCAAATCTTCAGAAGCTTTACATTTAAAATGTATAATGAATACACAACGGTAACATAGTAACAATAATTATGACTTAAACTAAGAGGAACCTTTAATGTCTATATTGTGATGTCATAGATAAATTACTACAATTATCTGGAAAAAGTTCGGGAAAATCATAAGAGACTATTAAGTTTGCTTTAGAATACAATATGTTTTTTTTTTCTTTTACCCGTCTCTGGATATCACTGGAACATCTGAGTTTATAAAATGGGAGAAAAATCGTTTTTTCTACAAGTTTCCAGGAAAGAGACTTTATTTCAATTGTGGATATATATATATATATATATATATATATATATATATATATATATATATATATATATATATATATATATATATATGAAATATATGGAGATAACGAACAGTATTCAAGCTCAAAAGTCCATTATACAATATAAAATAGGAGCAGAGCAAACACGGACCTCCAAACATCAGAGGTGGGATCAGGTGCCATGGAGGAGTGAGCATCCCCTGCCGACCGGTCACTACCGCCGTGTGCTCCTTGTCATGATCGGGAAATAAGGGAAAAATCCGTCGACAATTCAGTGTGTAAATAATGGCCTAACAATTAGTATGAAAAACGTCAGTCAGCATTTGACTCAATGATAAATTGTATTTGCTGACAAGGTCATTGTATCGATCATAGAACTTACGAAATGATGACTTTAGACGAGACAGCTGATATTCTTGTTTCATCAACTTATTTGTCAATAATTTACCTCGTTTTAGAAATTGTACATACGTAGAGCACGCTCTTGCGTATCGAATCAACTGAGAGATATATACCCCGTATGCAGGTGATGAAGGTATATTGCTGCATAAGTAAGGGAAGTTGACGATTGAAAAGTTAAAGTCATCACGTTTATCATAAAGCTTGGTTGTTAGATTACCATTAACGTCTTTTTCAAGTAAAATATCCAAATATGAAACAGATGTGTCAGACTCTGTGGTATCTTTTATCTCAAGTTCACCAGGATATATCGTATCGACAGAAGAATGAAAATAGCCATTGTTAATTGACAATACGTCGTCGATATATCTAAATGTCGAGTTGAACGCCACAGCAAGTGTTTTCTTCTTTTCACGTACAAGATTTTGGACAAATTATATATATATATATATATATATATATATATATATATATATATATATATATATATATATATGGGAATCATTACTCCCAAATATTGCTGTTATTTCCTTCTTTATTTTTACATACTTATTGTAATATTCTTTTTAATGTTTTAAAGTGCTTGTCCATGGGTACTTCATACAAAAATGTTTCAGGGTTGATTTTCATGAAAAAAGTAATTGTCCCATGCACATTTATTCCGGTCTCATTCCTGTGATAAATTTTGCCTGGCCCCTTAAATTTATTTTCTTAATTTTATCTTGGATCTGGATCTCACCTTGATTTTATCATGTCTCTCGAAGAAGGATATTATACATTTTTAAATTTTTGTATTTAATTTTTATCGACAGCATATAGCCAAAAAGTAAAGACATTATACGAACCTTTGTCAAACTTCCTTTTAAATCTGATTCCCATTTTTTATGCTTGCTCTTTTCTTTTTTCATCTTTTTAAGTTTCTTTTTCATGATCGACCTGCACTGGATTGCAATTGTTTTGAGGGCTCTGAAAATACGAAAAATCAATTCTAGATAAGAAATCAAGCAATAGGTCCTTAAGCTCTTAGCTAAACTAAAATTCAAGCACCCCCTTTTTTATTTATACACTGTATGTTATAAACTTAACACAGTCATAATTTGAAACTACATAGTAGATATAATGTGAACTTTGTTTCTAATTTTTTCCTTTCTCGATCGATAAGAGGTGTTTTGTTTATGGACTGGGGAATTATGTACTTTTGCTTGTAAAGCTTAATCTATAGATCATTTAAGTAGACATGTTTGGGAAAAGTTGTTATACTATCTGAGTATGCTTGCATATTTATAGTACTAATCATGACCTCGCTGTTCATGAGATTTCTAAAACTTTTTTCACATCATTTTCTCATGTAACATTTTATCCCTTATTGTAGTAAATAAATTTACACTATCTGAGAATGTTGGCATATGATTATCAATAATTATGACCTTGCCCTTCTTGAGAAGATTTTTAAACATTTTTTCATATATATTACCAAGTAAAACCTTGACCCTTACTATTCCTCGGGCTCTGATTAGAACAAACTTGTATCTATACTTTCTCAGGATCTTTGCAGAATAATCAAGTAAATTTATCAGTAATCATGGTCATGTTGTTCTTCATCAGATTTTAAATACTTTTTTGCCATTTATGCGCTCCACAATACCCAGGAACCATGCTTCGAACAAACTATGTCAGGCAGCTTTCACAAAAAAGTATCTTTTCTGGACTAGTTGTTCTTAAGAAGATTGTGAAAGACGTTTACTTTATTTTGGAATTTCCATGATTATCTCCCCTTCATGGAGGTCATGAAGGTGGTGCCCTTATTTGAACAAATCTGAATCTCCTTTACCCTAGAATGATAGTTATAAGTGTGGTTGCTATTGGACAAATTGTTCTGGATTAGAAGCTGAAAATGTGCAAAGCCAAGAGACAGACGAACGGACGACAGACAACTACGATCAGAAAATTCTACCTTGCGCTAAAAAGAGGACTAAAATGTATATATTACACCGATTTCGTCTCTCCTTGAACATCCGGTGAGATTCGTTTTTTGCTTAGTAAATATGTGCAAGTCTAATTGTCTTTTCAGACCATGTGGTTTTTGTGAAGATTTTGGATGATTTCAGATCCCCCAGATTTTGTTAATACCCCATCCCTTCTAAAGGGGCATGGTCCTTTTAATCTAAAAAACCTCAATTTCCAGTAGAACAGATTTTTTTTCTAAACAAGTTTGACTAAAATTGGGAAGGTGGTTCTTAATTAGTCCGAAAATGTAAAATTTAAAATATGCAAGATGAAAAATACACACAAGAAAAAGACACCTTATTCTTCAAAAGGAAAAACTTAATTGGCTTTGTTTAAGGTAAACTAAAACACTCGCTAATTGGACGAACATCAATACAAATGATTTTACGATTAGCCAAGGGTTTGAAAGTCAAAGGGCGACAAATGAAGCTTGAAATGATACATACTCTGGAAAACGACGGGCATATAATATGAATTCCATTCAGGTAATTGAGACTTTAAAGTTTTTTTTTTAAATCAAAAGCTTACGATAAGTTCTCCGTATTTCTTTTTTCGAGTATTCCACATACAGTATCTTCAAATCTCGTATATTCTCGACATAAACGTTCATCGTTTTCGTGACGCATCTGAAATATGAACATCGAAGAGCATTACTGTTAAAGTACAATATTTTGGAATAGATCCCCAACTACTTTGCTTCAAGACAAACAGCAGTATTTTCAATATAGTAAAACATGTAGCGTGACCGGAGAAAGAATTGTTCTAAAATGCAGTTATAGTGAATGGAGATGGCATTTTTTTAAATAAATATATGTATATAAAGTAGCAAGAATTTCGCCTTCAAACAACTTTAACTTTTTTAATTATATTATTATTTTTTTAATATTATTTGATGTCCTTAACAAGAGACCAAATTATTGTAGGTCAGATTTTAGACAACGTAGGATGAAAACACATGCAAAATTATCCTACATGCGTGCAACTCCCGGGTTGAATCGGGAAAGTTATTCCGAGCATCTCGGGTTTATATTATTTTTTTTTCTGTTTCGTTTTCAGTATGGTATGGGCGTACTTCAAGGATTCCAGGCATCAAGGGAAAGTTCCAAATCAACATTACATGAGCCCCCCCCCCCCCCCCCCCCGCTAATTTGGCCAGTATTTACTTTACTCTAGAAAACATTGCTCTAGAAAAACAAAACTAATTTTCTTTTTTTTTTTTTTTTTTTGCCTTCTCGATATTTTGGCTGTATATAAAATACATTAGAAAACTCAAATAATTCACTGTTGTGCCTTCTCAAAAATGTCTTATAAATTCTTTTAGCTGTATCTTCCCACCCCTCTTTTTCCATATGGAAATTGCTACCTATGGGCCCAGGATTCTTTTTCATTAACTTTGATTAGCTTACCTGTTTTCCAAGACTGACTCTGTAAATATTATCCTGATTTATTCTCTGTCTTCCGAGTGCTGTTATAATTGTGTGCTTGATATTAAACCAAGCATCATCTTCAAATTTTTCCGTGTCCTCATGAGTGGTCATGACCGACTCCCATTTATTTATCATAAATAAAATTTCACCACCCATCAACATCTCACACTCTACAATGCATTTCGGTAGTTCCACAAGAAATGTAGGTAAACATTCCTGTTGGGAGAGAAAAATGTCTTATTTAACATCGTATAATTTGAACGAAAGAAGTTACATATAGTACTGAAAAGAAATGATACGTGCATATGCCTGTGAAATTATTATGTCCCCGAAATCGAAAATTCTGGGCATATCTAGTTTTTGCCCTGTCCGCTAGTCTGTATGTTGTTGTTTGTATGTCCGCAAAAAAACTTTAAAATTGCCAATGACATTTGATTGGTTGGAGCTATAGCTTTCATATTTCACACGTGTATTCCTTGTGACAAAACTTTTCTTTGAGTACAATCATATTTGACCACTTGACCTTGAAGTTTGACCCACTTTTGCTAAATTTTACCAAACATGACTTTTCCCCTTGACCCTGGAGTATGCCGTAGATTTGAAAAAAATTAACCTTGATCATTACTCTTGAATGGTTGGTGCTAGGACTTTCATGTTTCACACTATCTTCCTTGTGACAAGACCTTTCCTTGGGCACCATTAATTTGGACCCCTTGACTTTGATTTTGAAAAAAAAACTTGTCCAAAACCTTTGAAAGGTTGCTTCTTTGGCTTTCATATTTCACAGGTGTATTCTTTTTGACAAGATTTTCTTTGGTACCAGCAGTTTTGATTACTTGACCTTTGAGTTTGATTTGCACTTGAGAAACCTTAACCTTCACAACCAGCTGTCATACGGGGCCATCAGTGTTTCACAAAAACATCTTGTTTTTGGTTATAAAATCATTTTCGTTAGGAGATGTTTAAAGGAAGTAAGGAAATATAAATATAAAAAATAAATATAAATATACCCCATTCTCCGAGAAGCACCAGTTGCTACACGATGCATTCATAACAAACACACATGCCAATATTTGTTGAGGAGGCATTTCTTTAAAGTAGTTTGTTAATGCGTCCAATCCTCGAAAACTTGGTGTATCAACAAGGACGACGCCAAGCTGGATTGAAAAAAGTGTGAAATAAAAATTTCATAAATGTTTATGCCTAAAAACTATGGAAGAAATTTACTGATAACACAGATAAAAACATTCAGTTTTTGTCAATTTGGTCCTGTTCTTCAAAAAACGTTTTTGAAATACTTGATTCATTCATATTCCCATTTAAAAAAATTCCATTTTGTGACCTCAACATAGCCAAAGGAGTCAACCTAGGTTTAAAAAAATTGTGTTTTCGGTAACCCAACCGACCGTACTTTTACCCACCAACCCTGCTACTTTTATTTCAGATCTATAGACTTTGAACTTTTCTTTTGTTCACTTGTACAGTATTCTTACACTGCAGTCAATAAAATGCACGCCCCAGACATTGTAAAAACGTATCTATTCAAATGTTTGAAGAGTTCTGTTTTGTTGTGCATTTTTATTCGTAAATGTGTATGTATATGACGAAAAAAAGCAACAAAGTTTGGAATAGTTAACTGATGCTTACAAAATTAAAAGTAAAGTTTAAAAAAGTTATCGCCTTCAGCTTCTACTTACGCTAATTTTTTTTTGGACATGATACTAGAAACACACATTTTTTTTTATTTGACCTTAACCAAATAAATTTGAATTCACACTACATTAATTGGAACTCTGAATATCAATATGACGAATGTAGCCTTGCTGTATTGGAGTTCCTTTGAGGACTTAACCCTATATACATGTATATATATTGTATACAATTTTAGCCCCACTCTGTAATCTGTGCCCACTTGACTCCAGTGTTTCAAAATCAATATTTGTGTTGCACTGAAAGCCTAAATCAGTCCTTTAAATAAAGTTTTATATTTCAAATGGCCTATCATTTGAGAAAGACCAAAAATTCAATTATTTGGATAAATAACAAAGTTATATCAATATAATTAGCTCACATATTCCACTTATAACTTTATAGACAGAAATAATCGGCATTAACTTTTAAAACTTTAATAATATTGCTCCGTTCTGTAAAACACCAAAATCTTTGAAGATATAAGTATTTTGCGGAAGGGAGCCATTTGTGGTTACTTTTTCTTTCCTATTCTTCTTTTAAAAATATTTAAGTGTAAAACTAAAAGATAAATATATCAATAAAGGTTGAATTAAGACACGTTAACCAATAATAAATTACACGTATAACTACATTTACAATAGACTATTAAAACTAGTATATAAATTGATATAAAACTAGTATATAAATTGATATAAAACTAGTATATAAATTAATTTAACTAAAGATCGGCAAAGGTAGATGCGTTTTCTTATCCATAGTATCTTGACTATTGCTTTTCTTCCCACAAAATGGTGGTCTCCAACACCTTGCAATTGACGAACACTGCCAAGTGATTGATAATAATAGTATCAATTTTAATATGGACCATGATGAGTGAATATATAAAAAATCAATGAACAGCATGTATATGCAAGGCGCTCAGACAGATTCATAATAATGTCTCGAATATATACGGTTATTGTATTTTCACCGCATAGCAGTAATCTTCTACACCTAGCAAAATCTCTCATTGTAGAATAAACCGTCTTGAAACTTTTTTTACCGTTTGTAAATTAACGATCTAGAAATATTCTTCAATTCCCTGCTGATTCAATTATTTTTGCGGTCTCTGACGGATTTCCACTAGTTCAACTGTCATAATTTCTTGCTGCACGCTAAGCCTTTCGGATGGACGACGTCGCTAATCACTTTCGCACATTTTAAGAAGCGAGCTCGCCCATACGATATTCAGGAAAATTGCCTTCAAATCAATTTCATAGTTGGCTTAGTTAAAAAGCAGCTAATGTTTACATCATCATTTGAATCCAAATTTATTACAAAGTTAACATAATTTTAAGACTGTATGGGCCGTGAACGCATTCTGCGAATCTATGAGACTTCGATTTAAAAAAAATAGATTCAAAAAATTATAACTTAACCAATTTGATTAAGATCTTTACAATTAACATTTTTGGTATACAATATGTGTATATTAGACCATTAAAGATGACGAAAACACCATTGTTCTTTTTTTTTCTTGACAGCCCTCGTACACAAGAAAGCTGCACAGCTTTAAGGTGGATTCAAAAACAATGACTCATTTGATGAAAAGAAAATGTTGCTACATCCTTCATGAAATACAAAACCAGAAGAAATTCTAGTGTTTTATCCTTCGTACTTGTGTCGGGTATATAAATGATTTAATCGAGACCTTGATTGAGTATACAGAGTTTTTCCTTTTGTATATGTGAAAAAAATGCCCTTTTATTGTTGTTTTACATTAATTGCCTCAATTCTGGATTTAACAGTTTTAACATGAAAGAAGTATGATAAAATAAATTCCCCCAAAAATTACTTTTTTGTCCATTTAGTCAATATTTCAAACGTAAGCCAAAAATAAAAATAAAATAATAATAAAGAAATATATTTTCTTAAAACAAATACTAAATTTTGAAGCGATTCTATTTCACCTTCTTTTGATCCACTCCTGAGATCCGATATGGTTTTTTATTATTATTATTAAACATTGTTTTAAAAATTATAACAATATCTCATTGAAGTTTGTAAAGCAATTTTTTCCTGTGAATTGACTGTAAAATGTCCAAAAATGTCTGTAATTTGGAGACATTCATACTGATTTAAACTTCAATTATAATCGAACATTTTCTGCAATTTATATTTTAGTAAAGCCATGTGAAGTTCATTGATAATTATAAAAGTCTTGCACTCCTGACTGCAGTGAAAAACATAGGACACAAAAATTCATAAAGTTATGGCAACAGCAAATTGTAACGAAATTGTGCAATATTTATAGTCCCAATACTTCATGGTTAAAACGTATAAAATTGTTTAACCAGGCTTCTTATCTTAAATTATTCCCTATTAATGTTAGAAAAGATAAAACACATATGGATTGATTGATTATTGTTTTACGCATCTGGATTGATAAAATGGAAAGAGACAGACTTCAAAAATAAAGCTGTCATTAATTAAGTATTTAATTATTCGAATAGATTCTATTGATCAAGTAATGGTTTTTAGAATGAATAGAAGTCATTTCGTCATTGAACTTGAATCTTTAGATAAATGTGTTGCAATCCCGATCCCAGAATATGGTTCTGCAACAGAGATGGATCTTGTAATTAAAAGATTTATTTTCACAGATCTTTGAAGTATATTACCTTTTAAAAATGTCACAAAAGGTGTGACATTCCTGACATTTTCAGCATCATATTTGGACATACCTTTTTTACGACTTAAGAAGATATCAATGACTTATCTGGCAGGAATTTAAACAATATCAAAAGACATACGTATAGCCATAGAAATTTATTCACATCGCCTGTATTTTTAGAGCAGATTGATAAATATGTGTTCGGTCTTTTTTTTAAATTCACCCTTTAAAGTTGCTTAAACAGATTTGAACTTAATATTTTCTCAAATTTTTGGTATAATATCACGACTTATATATTGCAATAGCATTTCGCACGAAAATATAATTAAAAACTTATTTTATCTGGAAATTATTGGAACTACGAATTCCGGGACGCGTTTGATTAACACATCTTTCCACTTATACAAATGTTAACTTTATACTTAATATTTAGGAAAAGAAGCGATTTTGATATGTATTAATAAAAAATAATACATCTATAATCCAGAAAATTTCAGAGAAGAAATGTTCGAAAGCAAAACCAGCTCACCAGTATTGTCAGTCCATGCTCTGTGATGTGTACAAAGTTTAACAAATTGAACACACCCGTGAAACGTAAACTGTTTTTGTAAACAGGGCACGAGCTATGTTGTTGTTAATGTTTACGATTCACCGGGTGTCTTCAATTGTTAAACTCTGCACATACAACTGAGCACAAACTTACAATACTGTGAGTGGATTTTGCTTTTGAACAGGTGGGCTGATTTTTACCGGTCGGTCGGAGTACATAAAACATCAATTTATTATTGGCCTAAAAAGATCATACAAGTAACGGTATAATTTTAATAAGCAACAAGTATTTAATTTTCATAAATGAATGAAGATAATTAATAAATTTCAGCATTTAATTCACAACGTACCTTTAAGATTGGTGCAGGATAAAATACATGAACGAAATATTTCGCTTTTGTAGTGAACTCCTCCAAGTACCTTTTTAAGGCTAGTAGTGTAATGTCACATGCCTTGAACTGCAATTTATCTCGGAGTCCTTTCTTTTTATATACTTTGATCGTATATTCCTCATTATAGTGGAGGAACACCATTGCTGATGTCGAAGGACTGTTACTGTCCTTAAATAAATTGTATTCTATCAGCAGGTTTATTAAAGTTGTTTTTCCCGCGCATGTCTCACCTGAAAAGGAAAGTACAATTTCAATAGTCACTAAGAATATCATTCAAATCAGAAATATAGCATCACTGATGGTTTGTGGATTGATATAATTTTAATCCATTTACCATCCATGAGTCTTAGCTAGAAGAAAGAAAACACATAGAGTTGGATAGAAACCATATCAAACAACAAACCATGGAAGATTCTTTTATCACATATTTTACACATTGCTATCATATGTTTTATACTATTTTATCATTACACTTCATCAGACAAAAAGACGTCAAAACTGTGAGATATCCACTGAATAGGGGGATTTAACATGTGATTATATAAATATTACATGTAGTTGAGTGTAACATTGAAAATTTTCACCCCAAGAAAACCTTTGTCAACCGAAGCGCAGCCGGTTTTCGAGGGGTGAAAATTTTCACTGTTACACTCAACTACAAGCAATATTTATTACATTTTACTGAATGTTTTATACAAATACAGGTTGTGAAAATTTTCAATGTTACACTCAACTACTTGCAATATTTATTATATTATACTGAATGCTTTATATAAATACATATAACAGTGAACCGTGTGCGCATAAATTCTGCGCAGTCACTTTTTTTGAATATCACCCGTCGTCAAGCAATGTTGACTTTTGCTACGCTGGAGGGCGTGGCTTCATCATTCAGCGGGTAATAGTGTTTTTTAACAAATGTTTCTCGACGAATCAGATTCAATTAATTTACATGAAAGTATAATATTTATAAACATTGAATGTTGTGAAGCGTGAAAATTGTCAATGTTACCCTCAACTGCACGCAATATTTATGACATTATGCTGAATGTTTTATACAGATACATATAACAGTGAACATAAATTCTGCGCAGATAACAGTGTTGGAATAGCGACCGTCGGCAAGCAATTATGACTGTTGCTAAGCTGGATGGCTAGATTTCATCATTCAGAGGGTAATAATGTTTTTGAACAAATGTTTTTTGACGATCCATATTCAACTTATTTACATGAAAGTATAAAATAAATTAATATCAAGGTAAATTGATTTTGTTAACTTCTTTTTAACAAGACGTCTATGAGGCTATGTTTAAAAAATTGTTTGGTTGCCCTCTCCCGACCGACTGGCTAAAAATGGTTCTACTCAAAACTTTTTTTAACCTCCAGGAAGCAATTATTTTTTTTTTAATTCTGAAAAAAACCCAAAAAAACCCCCAGATTTTAAAAATTTAGCATTGAAATTGAAATTTTCAGAGAAAAACAATTTTCTCACCTACCGACCCATTTTTTTCATCCTTTGTGGGGAGAGGGCAAACAAACATTATTTTAAAGTTGGCCTGACGGTCACCTGAATATCATGAATTTTTGAGCCCACCTGTATTGGAACAATTTGCTTTATACATCTTCAAAAGTAATAAGAATTTTCAAAGATGTAATTTAATTTCAAATCTGACCAACTTATTTCAACTCTGAGTCCTAAATCATGGGCTATTGGATCATAAAGGAGATGGGTGAACAAAACGTGCAGAATGCCTAAAGCTTCAGACATGTAAAATCATGATGATCAGTTTGTGAATTAAGTATTTAGAGTAGCGTTCCCTTTATTGAGATTTATGAAATTATTGTAAAATAAAACCTTTCTTTTCTGAGGAACATTTTCCCGGCAAAACTTTTTCTGTTATTAAAACAATAATGTGGTATTTGTTGGGTTCGAACTAGGGCTCTGTATTGGTGCCAAGATTTCGATACGATACATTTGATTGCGATATCCAATATACTGTACCTATTCTTAATTTAGTCTTATTTTCTAGAAAAAACTGTAATAAACAAAGAAACAACTGATTTTTTTTTTACAGTTTATTTCAACAAATAACAACAAGGACCTGTCTGAGTCCATGATCCAAGAGAAAAAGAAGCAGATAAAAATTAGACATCAGTATTCATATCATGAATAATTAACAGTCAACATTTTAAAATTTCATATTTTTCTTCAAAAAGACCAATTCATTCACACGTTCTGGACTCAAACAGGCCCTCGTTGCAGAAACAATGTCTCCCGTAGTACTAAACACTCTCTCTAAGGCAACAGATGTTGCCTGGACACAGAAGTATGTGCGAGCAAGCCTGGCCAGTTTTGGAAAATAAACTTCATTTTCCTTCCACCACTGTTAGGGGTTATCTTTCATCGAAGCTGGTTTATGTCCCTTGTAACTTTCTAATTCTTTTCTTGCTAATTCAGCAGGAGTTATGAATTCGTCACCTGTGACTAAAACATCATCCTCCCCAAACAAAGACTCTAAAGCAGTTCTTGCTACTTTTTGTTCACTAGGTTTTGAAATCTGAAAAGGGATAGAGAATGAGATATCTGATGACAATAAGGTTGAACAGTTGATGCTTATAATTTTATTTTTTTCTTCAAAACTATCTTTTACACAATTTATTTTTAGAATCCATTTACATATTATTTTAGATTCTATATATACATTTTTATTATATTATATTCTTAATAAATGACACATATATGAGATTTTTAGAACCAACAATCATTTGTACAGGGTGTTTCATAATATATGTTACATTTTTAAATCTAATTATTTTTCTTACCTA